CATATTCCATTTTATTAAGGGTGGCTGTAATGTTTTGTAATAATCACTACAGTGGCAATGACATGATTGCAAACTTCAAAAGCTCCAGCTATACATGAACACCAAGCAGAAAGAATATCATTATTACAAAAGGCAATTCAAAGCTTTCTATTTTCGTGAACTTTTTGCGAACCACACACTTCAGAATATGCAAATAAAACATCTTTTTTAAACCTGAAGTGCATTATAGGGCCTATAAAACCACTATCAAAAAATGAAAATGCTTTTTGGTCCTTATACTTGCCAATATATTCTGAATCAAAATATTTTTTATTAAGAATATATGAAAAAATATTTCCCATTGTTAAACTAGGCCACTCAGATACTAAGTCATTTCTACTTTTCATTGAAACAGAGTTTGGATCAATTAGATCTACGGACAAGCTTTTAGCTTGTCCGTATAAGATTGCTTAAGTTTTTTTTCCTGTTCTTCTGCTGTTTTTATAACATCTATATTTAACTCCATTGCAGTAAATGCTCTAGTAACAAGCTCGACTTTGTGTCCAGTAGTACTTAGCCCACGAACAGTTAAAAAACTAACAGGCTGTTTGACAGATAAATTCAAAAAATCTTCGTATTTTCCAAGTGGCATATTAAAATACAATTTTCAATGATATATTTCCAGACAAACTAATTTTAGATATTAAACAAACAATAAAAAGATAAAGCGTATTGTCAAGTTTGTTTATAATTTTGCCCTCCCGAGAAAAACGATAGGTCACGTGATTCATAATTGCCGGTCAATTACGAAAAGGTCTATAGAAGTAATGCCCATTTGTGCGTGTTTGACACAAAACTCTGCAACCGATGTAAAGGGTGGGAATAAGTCGTAGCACTTTTTTATTAAAGAAAATGTGAACGAAAGTGTATGCAAATATTTAACTTAAACTAAACTTCAAATTATGTAACGTTAAAACATATATCAAGTTTTACAATTTTACATTTACTTGAAATTGCATTGTGGCAACATCTCCATAACTTTGATTTGTTGCATTTATTTGCTGTTTTATAAAG